TTTAAATGTCTGGTAGAATTCAGCAGTGAATCCATCTGGTCCTGGGCTTTTTTTTGTTGGGAGGGCCTATATTACTGTTTCAATTTCTGTCTCAGTTATGAGCCTGTTTAGGTTTTCTATGTCTTTCTGGTTCAATTTAGGTAGGTTGCATGTGTCCCGGAATCTATCCATTTCTGATAGATTTCCCTGTTTTCTGGCATACAAGTCCTTTTAGTAATTTCTGATGATTCTTTTTATTTCTGTGGTGTCTGTTGTTATGTTTCCTTTTTCATCTCTGATTTTATTGATTTGGGTCTTTTCTCTTCTTTTTTTAGTTAGTTGGACCAATGTGGTATCAATTTTGTTTATTTTTTTCAAAAAATCAGCTCCTTGTTTGGCTGATTTTTTGTAATGTTTTTTTTTTTTGATTCAATCCTGTTGATTTCTTCTCTGATTTTAATTATTTGGTATGCAGGGATGGTTCAATGTTCACAAAACAATCAACGTGATACACCACATTAACAGACTGCAGAAGAAAAACCATATGATTATCTCAATAGATGCCGAGAAAGCATTTGATAAAATATAACACCCTTTCATGATGAAAACTCTAAGCAAACTGGATATGGAAGGAACATTCCTCAATACAATCAAAGCAATTTATGAAAAACCCACGGCCAACATCCTATTGAATGGGGAAAAGTTGGAAGCATTTCCACTAAGATCTGGTACCAGACAGGGATGCCCACTCTCACCACTGCTATTCAATATAGTTCTGGAAGTTTTAGCCAGAGATATTAGGCCAGAAAAAGAAATTAAAGGGATACAAATTGGGAAGGAAGAACTCAAACTATCCCTCTTTGCAGATGATATGATCCTTTACTTAGGGGACCCAAAGAACTCTACTAAGAGACTATTGGAACTCATAGAAGAGTTTGGCAAAGCAGCAGGATATAAAATCAATGCACAAAAATCAACAGCCTTTGTATACACAGGCAATGCCACGGCTGAGGAAGAACTTCTAAGATCAATCCCATTCATAATAGCCACAAAAACAATCAAATACCTTGGAATAAACTTAACCAAGGACATTCAAGATCTCTACGATGAAAATTACAAAATCTTAAAGAAAGAAATAGAAAAGGATACCAAAAAATGGAAAAATCTTCCATGCTCATGGATTGGAAGAATCAATATCATCAAAATGTCCATTCTCCCAAAAGCAATTTATACATTCAATGCAATACCAGTCAAGATACCAAAGACCTTCTTCTCAGATCTGGAAAAAATGATACTGAAATTCACATGGAGACACAGGAGACCTCGAATAGCTAAATCAATCTTGTACAACAAAAACAAAGCCAGAGGCATCACAATACCAGATTTCAGGACATACTACAGGGCAGTTGTTATCAAAACAGCATGGTACTGGTACAGAAACAGATGGATAGACCAATGGAACAGAATAGAAACACCAGAAATCAATCCAAACATCTACAGCCAACTTATATTTGATCAAGGATCTAAAACCAATTCCTGGGGCAAGGACAGTCTATTCAATAAATGGTGCTGGGAAAATTGGATTTCCACGTGCAGAAGCATGAAGCAAGACCCCTACCTTTCACCTTACACAAAAAATCACTATACATAGATTAAAGACTTAAATCTATGACCTGCACCATCAAATTATTAGAGAGTATTGGAGAAACCCTGCAAGATATAGATACTGGCAAAGACTTTCTAGAAAAAACCCTGGAGGTGCAGGCAGTCAAATACAAAATTAACATTTGGGATTACATCAAATTGAGAAGTTTCTGTACTGCAAAAGAAACAGTCAGGAGATTGAAGAGGCAACCGACAGAATGGGAAAAAATATTTGCAAACTACACAACAGATAAAGGGTTGATAACCAGAATCTACAAAGAAATCAAGAAACTCCACAACATCAAAACCAACAACCCACTTAAGAGATGGCCTCAATAGACATTTCTCAAAAGAGAAATCCAAATGGCCAACAGACATAAAAAAAATGTTCAAGATCACTAGCAATCAGGGAAATGCAAATCAAAACAACAATGAGGTTTCACCTCACCCCGGTTAGAATGGCTCACATTCAGAAATCTACCAACAACAGATGTTGGAGAGGATGTGGGGAAAAAGGGACATTAACCCACTGTTGGCGGGAATGCAAACTGGTTAAGCTACTATGGAAGTCAGTCTGGAGATTCCTCAGAAACCTGAATATAACCCTACCATTCAACCCAACCATCCAACTCCTTGGAATTTACCCAAAGGAAATTAAATTGGCAAACAAAAAAGCTGTCTGCACCTTAATGTTTATTGCAGATCAATTCACAATAGCTAAGACCTGGAAAGAACCCAAATGCCCGTCAACAGTAGACTGGATAAAGAAATTATGGGACATGTACTCTATAGAATACTATACAGCAGTCAAAAACAATGAAACCCAGTCATTTGCAACAGGATGGAGGAATTTGGAAAAATTATGCTGAGTGAACTAAGCCAGTCCCAAAGGGACAAATATCATATGTTCTCCCTGATCAGCGACAACTAACTGAGCACCAAAGGGGAAACCTGTTGAAGTGAAATGGACACTATGAGAAACAGTGACTTGATCAGCTCTTGTCCTGACTGTTGATGTACAATGTAATACTTTATCCATTTTAATATTTCTCTTTGTTTTGTTCTAGTACTATTGATTGAACTCTGTAATTAACACACAATTATTCTTAGGTGTTTAAATTTTAACTGAAAAGTGATCCCTGTTAAATATAACAGTGGGAATAAGAGAGGGAAGAGATGTACAATTAGGGACATGCTTAAGCTGACTTGCCTCAAATGGTGGAGTTAGAATCGTGCCAGGGGATTCCAATACAATCCCATCAAGGTGGCATGTACCAATGCCATATCACTAATCCAAGTGATCAATTTTAGTTCACAATTGATCACACTGATAGGTCTAAGAGTCAAAGGTATCACACAAACAAGACTAGTGTCTGCTAATACTAACTGATAGAATTAAAAAGGGAGAGAATGATCCATCATGGGAAGTGGGATACACAGCAGACTCATAGAATGGCAGATGTCCTAAACAGCACTCTGGCCTCAGAATCAGCCCTTAAGGCATTTGGATATGGCTGAAGAGCCCATGAGAGTATTTTAGGCATAGAAAGCCAAGACACTCTGGAAAAAAAAAATGACCTAAATGAAAGATCTCCGTGAGTGAGATCCCAATGGAAAGAATGGGGCCATCAAAGAAGGAGGTACCTTTCTCTGAAGGGAGGAGAGAACTTCCACTTTGACTATGACCCTGTCGGAATAAGATCGAAGTCAGCGAACTTAAAAGGCTTCCATAGCCTTGGCAACTCATGACTAGAATCTAGGGAGATTACTGACACCATAAACAAGAGTGTCAAATTGTTAAGTCAACAACAGGAGTCACTGTGTGCTTACTTCTCATGTGGGATCTGTCCTTAATGTGTTGTCCAATGTGAAGTAATGCTATAACTAGTACTGAAACAGTATTTCACACTTTGTGTTTCTGTGTGGGTGCAAATTGATGAAACCTTTACTCAATATATACTGAATTGATCTTCTGTATATAAAGAGAATTGAAAATGAATCTTGATGTGAATGGAAGGGGAGAGGGAGTGGGAGATGGGAGGGGCGTGAGTGGGAGGGAAATTATGGGGGGAAGCCATTGTAATCCATAAACTGTACTTTGGAAATACATATTTACTAAATAAAAAATAAAATAAAATAAAAAGAAATGTATTTATTATGAAAGGTGAAATTTATTTGTATTTACTATGCCAACATTTTCAGAAAAAAGACCTTACATCTGGTTAATTCTTCTGATATATCGTTATAGGGTGGCCATTAGGAGCTTACAACATAATTAATTTAAACTATCATTTCACTTGACAACTTCTTGTCAAATGTTCTGGAGTCTAGGGATGCACAGTCCTCAAGGAGTGTCCATCTAGTTTGACAAGACATAAGAGACACTGAAATAAAATTGAGAGGCAAATTAAACTAATGTTTACCTAAACCTAAAACACTTCTGCATTTTGCCTGTGTTAGATTCTACTCCTCAACTTTCTACATGTAGGCAGAGTATCACATATATTATCACTGAAAAGTAGGCTCACTTATGAAGTCTTATTTTTTAACACAACCATATAACTAACTTATCAGAAAAAGTCATTCTCTTTTGCAAAATATGAGACAGCAAAAGACATCCCTAATAGACTACTTTTGTGTTGCTACTTCTTACTTACGCCCATGTATTAGAAGACTTAAGTCTAGGGCCCCATGTGTCATGAAGCTGGTTAAGCTGCTACTTGTGGCACTGGCATCCCATTCCAGAGCACCCATTTGATTCTGGGCTTCCAATCTAGTTTCCTGCTAATGCTCCTGGGAAAGCAGTGGAAAGTACTTGGGCTCCTACCACCCATGTGCAGGACCCAGATGTGAATTCAGACTTCTGGTCAGACTTCTGGTTTCAGTTTGGCCCAATCCTGGCCATTGTGGTCATTTGGGAGAGTGAACCAGTGGATAGAAGTCCTCTTTCTCTGCCTCTCCCTCTCTGTCATTCTTCCTTTCAAATAAATAAAATAAATCTTAAATACACACACACACACAAAAACAGAGTAGCTCTAAAATCTAATCTCTAGTCTCCAAAAATAAATATATCTTGGTCTGCATTATTTGATCCTACATGCCACATGGCTGTAGTCAGGTACTTGCTTTATTAACAACAGACAAATCATGCCTTAAACTCAAATAAAATGTATGTACGCTTCTGTGTGCCTTAGTCTGAAATCACATAGTTGTCATTAAATTGTCCAGATTGGGCACAGACCCTAAAACATTGAGCACACACCCTTCTCTCTTGCCATTCCACTGATAATATGCATTTTGGGGGAAGATGTTTCTTGAAGTTGTGAAAACGCATTGAACTCTGGAAAATGGGAAATTTTAATTGAAGCTTGTCTTACCTGGCTTGAGATGGGCGAATGGAATTTCACCAGTGAGAAGTTCCCACAGACACAGAGCATAGCTGAAGACGTCAGCTTTGATGGTGTACCGCGTGCACTGTGTGAACACCTCTGGAGCCATCCAACGGAGGTTCTGTGCATCAAGAAACATTCACAGGCATTTATGAAGTGCTTAGATCTTCAACTGCAGACTAGTGCTTTTCTTAGTGAGGATTCATGAGGTGTTCTGCTGATAATCTCAGAAGATACTAACATACAGTAGCATAGATATTAACCCAAATGTGTGCAATAAACGGACATGCTTATACATATGTAGTATGAATACTGAGGTTGTTAAGTTTCTCCAAGGTTAATTTTTTTAATCGTTGAAATATTATATTTATAATCTTGCCAAAATGATCACCTTTACCACTCACTGAGTAACTACCTTTTACAAAATGATGATCACAACAGCAGCATTTTTTTATCTATGCACATCTTTCTTCTAGAAGTGTTACAAACTTCAGAAGAGCCAACCAGGATTCATCTAGGGATCTATGCTTCCCTGATTACTAACCAGGCACTCTGGGGGGGGGGGGGCTCCTTCCCTCATACAGGTCTTCAGGTATAGGGGGTCCCTGAATTTAGCACACAAATAGTGTTCTCATGACCATAGAGGGAAAAGACCACAGAGAAATGCCAAGAATATTCCTATGAAGTAGATTTCTCACTAGCAGCGCCAGAACGTATTTTCCCTGATGTACTATTTCTGAATGGTGTTTGTGCAATATTATAGAAATAAAGCCCACAAAATGTTACAAGTTTCTCTGTAGAAAGTTCTGAGTAGGTTTTAATGGTGTTATTTATGTTATTTTCATTTGCAATACATATTCCTCAGTTTAAAATAAAGTTTCCATTCTGGGATGAAAATGCATAACATTTGATTTAAGTGTAGTTTGGAGAACAGAACGCAAGATTTTGAGTGAGGAGATGAAAATTCTAGTTCTGTCTCTGCCATTGATTGAGCAACTTGGGGTAGGTGTCTTTTGCTTCCTGAACCTCAAATTTCTCAAGGACAAAACAGATGAGTCAGGCCCTTGTAGTTTTAAATTCCCATAGGTCCATATCACATACATAAACTTTGACAAGTATCTTTGTATTTCCACTTTGCAGAAAGCAATTTTTACATTACTATTACTAAAATCCTGTATATAGGGATGGCTGCAGGTAATTCTTTTGAAATGTCTCCCTTATTTTGAAATCATGCATAATTCCAGCTTTCTAAGAATATCTTTATTCTGATTATGCTGCTCACACGCAACTCTTCCCACATGAGGGTTCACATTCCAAATAGCCTCCATTTCTATGGTACATTGTACATTGTGTCACAGCATTGCATAAGTGGAAGTAATTATTGACCATGCCCATTTTTTCACAGGAGGGTCATAGAGTAACTAGGGAACTTACAGAGGCTACATAAGTAGTAAGAACTAAGATAGCCTCTAAAATAAATCCAGAATAGTGCTGTGCTTAAAAATTATGCCACGGATAAAAGAATGAATATTACTTGCTGTTGGTGAAATTCAATTCAATTCTACTCAACTAAATTTATTTAGTCATAGTCTCTTTTGGCTTCATTTTAGAATCACCCGGAGGAACATTTAAAAACCTACAGATACCCTAGATCAACCCCAAGCCAAAGAAATAATAATTTTTAGGCAACGGATTTGGGCATTATAATTTTAAAGTGTTCTAAAGTGATTTTTATGTGAAGCCAGGGTTAGAACCATTGAGTTAGCTGCCTTTGCAAGCCAGGTCCTGGATTAGATAGATTTGTGCATTCCATCCATGGAGAACTCACTCTTCTTGTTCAACATTATCTCACATCTTACCACTTTCCTCCTTGTTCACCCCATTGTAACCACTACAGCTTTCAACACACCAAAGACTCTACTGCCTCAGGGTCTTTGCACTTATCATTTTCCAAATCTGTCTTGTCTCATAAAATGTTATAATTCTTTTTCACCCTAACTGAATATTCCCATCTAATCATTTACATTGCTTTTATTTTTTCCTTTATAAACTTCATCACTCCCTAATACATATTTTATTGATTTGTTCAGTATCTCTTCTTCCAGTGGAATATTAACTCCATGGAAATAATAGCTTTATTTTGTTTCTTGAAATATCCACAGTTCCCTAAAAAACATCTAGTATCTAGTGGAAATTCCACTGTATTTGTTGAATGAATGAGTGAAATCTAGCTGGGGAAACCAGTATGTATAACCCTACTTACAACACAACACTGTACAGGAAGTGGTTATTGCCCTTATGTCTAACTCATGTCTAATTCTCTCTTCCTTATTCCATACATATCAACAATGCCAAGCGATATGAAGTTCTCCCAGAAACTCTGCTGTTTTTCATCCTCCTTTGTACCCAACTCATGCTGTTCACTTTGCCTGGGACACCCTTCCATCCTCCCTACCATATCATTAGCTTCTGTTCAACCCACCGTATCTCTTACGTTGCTGTGTCATACTGCAACTCCTGAATTTCCACACTACTTTAAAGCTACCTTCTTATTACTCTCTTTCCCTCACTAGAGAATCATCTTCTTCAGGTCAAGAACTTTTTACTCTTATTTTGCATCCTTACAAAATACTTCACACAGAATGAGCCCTCAATACATGTTTGTTGAATGAAAAAAAATTAGCAAAAACATTGTAAAGTGCTACAAAACTACAGAGAGACTAAGGTTGAGGAAGTGGTGCAAGTTATAGAAAGAATGTGTTTAAAATGGGTAAATTTTGCCTGGGCCTTGAAAGATGGTTGGACTCCCTCCATGTGGGTCACAGTAAAGGACAAGCAGAGGACACTGCACTGGCAAAGTCCCAGGATGTGACAGTGAATGACACATTTGAACAGTGGTTGGGTGGCTGTTGTGCTAGAGCACAGGAAATGTATGCAAACTTGGGGTGTAAGAAGAGGTCACGCAGAAGGACATGATGTCATATTAAGGAGAGCTGGAGCAAAGATGAAGACATTGGCTTTTAGCCTGTGGACAGGGGAGCCTTGCTGCATGTTTACAAGAGGGGAATTGTCAGAGCAGCAACAATTAGCTGATGTTGAACTGCAAGAATGAACTGCAGGAGAGGACTGGAGTTCGAAGCCTGTTGCAGAAGTCTGGAAACGAAATGATAAGTATCTGAACTGAAGCAGCAGTAGGAAATGAAAGATTTGAGAACTAAAAAAACTCAAACTAAAATGAAAGAAAGAGCGAGAGCAAGAGCGAGAGAGCGAGAGAGCAAGAGAGCGAGAGAGTGAGTGAGAAAAGAAGGAAGGAAGGAAGGATGGAAGGAAGGAAGGAAGGGAGGGAGGAAGGAAGACAAACGAACGAACGAAAGACAGCCAGAAAGTGTGATTGAGTAATGTGTAAGTTGAAGCAGTAGAGGGAAGGGATGAAAAATTACCCTCAGCTTCAGTAATTAGATACCACAGGTCATCCAGAAATAGAAGTGTACTTACTCTGGGGGAGAAGACTGGGGGGAGTGAAGGAGAGGACAAGTAATGAATTTAATTGCAGACACTTTGAATGCAAGCATCCTTGCTTCAGATGGTATAATTTATATTTTACTTAAATTTTAATGCCTGATTATACCACCTTTTACCTTAAAATGTTAAAGGAAAGACATGAATAGTTAGTGTGATGATGAACTAATTTTATAGTTAGTTACCTTTTAAATATCAACTATACTACTTAATAATGTGATCTAAGTAAGAAAACCAATTTTCTGTGCCTGTCTTGTGTTTTTCACTTATGTATTTAAGATATTCTGCATTATTTTATCGATAATATTGTCCAAATATATATCTTATATCTCCAGCTGAAACTTGAAATAGCTCTTTTATGGAGTTACTGAAAATAAAAATACTGGCCACTGGGAATATGACATTTCTTCCAGATAAATAAAGCTATTCTCATCTTACTTCCCCACATACTGAGTTTACACATTTTAATTGTTTTATAATTATAGGGAACACAAGCAGTAGCAAACCCCAGGTTGTTTTGTCATGTTGTCTTCATCCAGAGACTGTAGAAATCTTGATTCTGAGGGAAAGAGGAAACAAATTCACATCAAGGAAAATATCTCAAAATTGAGGTTAAATATTATAGCTAAATTTCTGAAACCCCAAGAAACCTCTGTATTGTTCAAATTGTTAATTCCATTCTTTTGGTTGGGGATATCAAAGAGGAAAAATTAAAAATAATTGACGTACAAATGTATCTGGTGGTGTGAAATCATTTTTCAGGGTAGTATCAACTAGGGATGAAGAAAGAAACTGATATCATTTGGGGTCCTACTCATGGAAATCTCACCTCCAAAATCAGCCACCACAGCATGTCCATCCTCATAGAGAAGAATATTGTGACTGTAAAAAAAAAAAATCAGACTTTTGAGTAAACTTTACTAATTCCAAGTCCTAATGACCTCTTAAGGAAGACAACAGTCATCACTTGTTTACCCCGGAGAATGAATGAACCCCCAAAGGCTAACTCTGATTTCTCAGTTTTACTAATTTAAAAGAGTCATTCACAAAATGTGTTCATGTTCCATCTGCGGTTGAAAGTATAAAACATCCTTCTTTTAGATCAGCCCTCTAAACAATAAGTCCCATTAGTCAAAGACCAGTTTTTCAGTCCTTGAGGCTCATTTGCTGTCACGACTGTGGCTACAGGCAAAGAGTAAGAGGCATCTCAAACACATTAGAGCCGGTGCAAGAGAATTAGCCTATTGGACTATTGGAGTCCTGGGCACAAACGCAGAACTCTATGGAAAATATCCTGGGCAGTACATCACTCTAGCTACAACCTCAGGACAAAGGTGTGTGTGTGTGTGTGTGTGTTTTGACAATTAAAATTTGTTATTTGAAAGGCAGAATTACAAAGGGAGACAGAGAGAAAGAGGTCTTCCATCTGTTGGTTCACTCCCTAAATGGCCAGGGCTGGACCAGGTTGAGCCAAGGATCCTTGAACTCCAACTGGGTTTCCTATGTGAGTGGCAGGGGTCTGAGCATAAGGCTGCCCTCTGCTGCTTTTCCAGGCATGTCATCAGGGAGCTGGATTGGAAGTGGAACAGCTGGGTTGCAAACCAGTGCTCATATGAGATGCTGATGTTGCAGGTGGCAGCTTAACCCAGTGTACGACAATGCTGACATCCAAAGGAGTGTTTTTAAGGCTATGAAATGATGCCAGTTAAATAGCATTTTGAAGTTTTGTGGAAGGGACAAGGGTCACAAAGTGTTCCTTCCAAGACAAAATTCAAGGAAGATTTGGCAGAGTGTCAGATTAGATTTTAAATTCTCTCACTATAAGATCATGCACTCAGCCCCCTCCCTCCCACAAGTTAGCATGAGGTGAATGGGTATGGCCATCACCTTGATTGTTGTAATCATTTCACAGTGTATATACACATAACTCCATCTCATTGTGCATTGTAAATACATGCAATTTTTGTCCATTATACCTCAATAAATCTTGCAAAAATAAAAAGCATTTTTAAAGCAGTTTGCAAAAACTAAGGCAGTCCAAACAGAAGTTATTCTTCCCACATATTAATGAGTTGAATTGTGGAATATCTTTGGGATAAGCATATGGTAATCCAAGGTTGTCTTTGAATGCTTCTTATTGAATGTCTGTGTTACTCATTTCACATTTGTATTGTCAATGAATTATTTCAGTATTAGGAGAACACTGATGGGTTTCTTTTCATGCAAAGGGACTATACTATATTTACTTTGTAATAAATTACATACTTCCCTATCCTTAATTATTTAGTACTATGATCAAAATAAGGAAAATATTTTTATTTTTTAGTTCATAATAAGTCCAGTATGATATTGAATATTTTATTTAATTGCTTAATTGCTTTCTGGCATTGACTTGAGCTTTATAAGAAAGTTACTTTTTAACTTCTTGTGTATAAATATTGTTAACAGATTTTGTACCTGGAGTATAATCTCAATATTCTTTTCAGCTGCTAAAAATCTAAAATGTGCTTGAAATAACTTTGGTTGTTGTAGCACAGTGTAGATAAAAAATGTATCTAAGTTCTATATCACTAGATTCCTTGAAGGATTTGGGGGGGTTCCAATGCCACAATTGTTTATCCTAGCTGGAGGTAATGAGTGCTCCATTTCACATGTGTTTTAACATTAAGACACACTGAGCATGTATTTGCCACTCATATTGAAATTATATATACAGATAGTTCTTGATCATTATTCTGTTGTTAATTACAATGAGTTTGCTAAAGTGGCAGTTTCACCAGTATAACTTTAATATATAAAACAGCTTAACCAATGGAGGTAATCTAGCGAAATTCAGAAAAGGCTCAGAGAACCCTTGTTTAACATTCCCCTTTTTTACCATAGAGGTCACTGTATTAGAAGGATAGTCAGCTAGCAAGTTTATAACAACTGAGACTTTGTTCTGTGGCAGAAAATATCCTATATATTGGGACACAGAGTGGTGAGCAAGACAGGCAAAGTTTGAGCTTACAATGTATAAGGAGACAAGATAGGAAGATATATGAGGGAGAAGAATTACAGGTTGGAGGAAGATTGTGGCAAAGGGTGCATTGGGATATGTGTAGTAGGTAAGAGGAATTACAATAAGAATGCACTTACTGAATTGGAGAATACACGCTGGAGAATAATAGGTTCTACTTGAGTGTAAGTGATATTGGATTGTGAGGGAATTTGAAAGCCAGAGAGGAATTCTAGACTTGTTGCAGAAAGTAACAAGGAGCTAGCATAGGTTTTATGAATGGTGTACATTGCTCTTAAAGCAGAAAGACTTATTCAAGATAATTTTAGTCTCTACTTTCCAAAGGACTAAAGTAGTGTAGGAAACAAAAAATAAAGTGAATTCATCAAAACATTTGATAGTTCCTGGCTCTGGGGGCAATTTATAAATAGGGGTAAAAGAGGACAGCAGCAAAAATAACAACAACAAAACACAACAGTAGAAAAACAAGATAACCTTCAAAATTCTTGTTAGATCTTAGATCTTCTAACTAAAAAGCAATAATAATTATGCAATTAGAAAATGCTGTCTTGTCAGAAATCTGGAAATTTTTATGAACACAATAGTGGTTGACTTGGGAGACTGTGCAACCTGACTGAAGTCAGTTTTATTTGGCAACACTAGATTTATCAGGAAACAGCATTAACATTTATCATATTGGCAAATTAAACAAAACAATTCAAGAACATGGGGAAACATGAGTTCATATAAGTAATTGAGGTCAAATGTAAAAAAATGCTATGAAAATGACAATGCAGAATTCTGGAATGTTAGGAAGTATGAGAATACAATGAAATTCCCTATTCCCTTCAACATAGTCTTTAGGATTTGCCTATGCCTTCTGTAACCGCTCCCTAATGTTGAAAAGAGATATTGTTACTGCTGATTTAAACCCCAAGAACTTGTTCTATTGATAGTGAAAAATGTGGCCAATGAGAAGGCAGTTTTAGTATAGTTTATTGTAAAAAGTGAAGACACAGAAATTGCTATACCTGATAGACCAGGCAAATGTCTCAGTGAAGGACTGAGAGCCATCAGCATTCAGACTGGAGTCTCTATGGACATGAGTATGGATCTCCTGTTTCTCCCCTCCTCCCTCTTATGGGAAAATCTAGGTGGTGGATTTCAGGAGTGGAATTCCCCTAAATAAACCCTCTGGACAATACTGGCCATCAGGGTTCTTATCTATTGGAGAAGTAAATGTCTCCTTCAGTCCCGTAGGGCCAGCTGAATCGCTCCATCAATTCAGTGAGTTCTTTTTGATAAAGGCCAGGCAAGGATGCCTTGGGCTGGGGAGACAGCCAAGAGGCTGGGTCCGGCTCTCAAGACTTGTTTCCTCACTCCATTGCACATGAATTTATTTTCTTTGAAACTTCTCATTGTTTTTAGTTCCTCTTAGATACATATGCTAATATTTACCTAGCTGCCTTAACAATGTTTAAAAATACCACTAAGAAGTTTCCATTCATTTTCCAAGTAGTTGCTGAGCCTTACTTCCCATTTGGAGGAGGACAGGCAGGGGTGAAGCTGACAGATTCTGAGTGGATGAGGGTGAGTCCAAAGGCCTTGGTGACTATGATGTTCAGAGTCAGTCTCTTCCAAAGGATCAACAGCATTGGGATTGAGGAGATCTAGGTGAAATTAGCTGATGGCCAAAGTTATCTAGGACAACAGGAGTGGCACAAATATTTTTGGTGATGAGTTCAGAAGTTTACTATTGACAGATGTCATGAACTGGGGATGGGGGCAGTAATGGAGAATGTGGCACTACAGAGAGAAGGGACTAAATACTGAGTGAGGGCCTCCTGTGGGCAGGTACTTGTGTTTTCAACATTTCTACATTCCTCATGGTCTCAGTATAGGGCTGACATTAGCATATCTATTTTACAGATGGATGCTTGAGGCGCCCAGAGGTTAAATCAGATGGGCAATAAATCATAGAATTTCAGGCTCCAAAGTCTGCCCCTTTTAAAAGAAGCTGACTCACATTAATCAGACCCCAAGGAGAAACCACATTATTAAAATTAAGTGTCGGCACAGAAATACAAAAATGTAAGGTTTAGCAGGTAGTGTCCAAATATTTCTTTTTGAGTTCAAGGTAATGAGCTTGAAATCAACAAATAGAAACCATATAAATCCAGTATATTTTCATGTCACCAAGACACAGCAGGCAAAGACATACCCTTTTCCCTTCAAGAGTCTGGTTGATGTGTCATAGACTCTGTAAAGAAAATGTGAGTGAAAGAAGCAAACTGAACACATGATTTGACCGGGGAAGCAGAGTAGGGACGATAAAAGTGACCATCAGCAGGACCAGAAAACAGATGATAAAGAAGAGTCATGGGAAACCCAAGACTTCTTCCCCACCCCCCCACCTGCAAAAACCACCTATGAGGTTTGTTTTAATTGTTTGCTTTTTTATGATATCTGGGGAAATGTAGATCTCTGCTTCCTCATGCCACACTATGGAGCCCTTCATGCATGTGATAACATTTGGTGGAGACAGTCTTGTGAGCTGGATCCTTTTGATGTGGTTTTAAAACGTACATTATTAGTTGAGCTAGAACTTCAGCCCAAACTCTATCATCTGAAGACAATGAATTGAGGAGAAGTTGGGTACCAAAGTAAGGTTACAGAGAAAGGAAGCAGAAAAATAGTGAACATGCACTGTAATACACAAACATGCACACATTAGCCATGCACACACACGTAGGTGCTCAAATGTGCATTCTCAACTTGCCAGAAAAGTCTTTAAGGATGACGCCTCACTGAGGAATGAATGCTCTGCAGACAGCAGTTAGTTTGGTAAAGGGCTTTAATGGAAGGTAAGTAGGTGAAGGTCCAA